GATTGTTGTTAATTATATGACATAGTTGCATTTATATAGAATTTGTTGTGCATTGGTGTATGAACCAATGAACAAGCACTGGGGCTAGATTGTATGGTTAGTGTATGAACTAATATACAATTGAATGCTTAATCCTATGAATTGATTGTTTAGTTTCAGTGGCCAATTGAACATGTGTATGGACTTCCCTTGAGGTTTTATCCTAAGAGGAATGACTTTTGGAAGTTCCATACGGACATTCACTTTGAGGTACGGCTCATTAGAGTGATCCTAGTGTATGGGGTGCACAAGTTCAATCAATTCTATTTTGCCTCTATGTATATGTTGCTATTATGCCATGTATTCTAACCTTTCATACAAAAAATGAACTTAAGGGTGGAGGCATCTCCAAGAACCCTTAATTTATTGAGATTTTCATCTCACCCTGTTTGGGGCTATGTTATTTCAAGTTCTCAAAAAGGAGGTGCTAGCATATCAAGTGAAAAAGAGCATGCATGGCTCTCTTGAAAATATTTATGTAACATGATGGTTTTGACATGCTAGTATTTAGAAAGCTTGCAATATTTTGGTCGAAATGCATTGTATATGTTTAAAGTTCAAGCAATTACTCTTGGTTTTTAATACAAGTGATATGATGTATAGGTACATGATGTAAATTGTGTCATTGATGTATGCTTTGTATTTGAATATCAAGTTAAGTTGATAGCATGATAGATTATTGTGAATGTTTCCTTTTGAATAAGGAACTTTTGTAATATGTTAAGTGATAGATGAAACAATGTAAAAATAATACATTTTGTCAAGGAATGACTCAAAAGGAGTTTCACTTTGATAATTCAATATAAACTTTGGATTCAAGAATTAAATGGATGTGTCAATAATTATTGATATAGGGTGGCTTGATGCTTAAGTAATAGATCCAAGGATGGATTTTAAATGAGATGTTAATAATATATGTTTATTTCATGAAGATTGGTCCATTAGGTGGTAAAATGAGCATTAGAGGTGTCCCAGTTAGACCAAACCTAAGACCTTTATGAACGCCTTACATGAAGTTTTCTTTTTACTTAGCAATGAACATAATTTAGTAAAATAGGTATAACTTGAGCTAGAGTAGTTCAAATCGAATAAAAATTTAACTTGTGGAAACTAACTTAAAGATCTTTAATTTTGGAAAATCTTAGGATTTTTAGATTAGGGATTCATTTCTAGTTTCTTTGTGAAGAGTTTAAACAATTGGCTTGTGACGTGCATAACTTGAATTGTGTAAATCCAATTAAAACAAATAAAACATTTATTAGAAAGCTTAAAAAGTTTAGTTTAACATATACAAAATTCGAAAATTTTGGTGCATCATTGAATTCCCAAAAATTCTGTGAAGATGGATGACTCACCTGTAGATGCCATTTTAGAACAGTTGTCTTCCTAGTTACTTAACTCTGGCTATACTTAATCAAATAATTCGTATTATACCTTGTCGGAAAGCTTAAGATGTTTATTTTATCATGTTAAAATATTAAAGTTTTTTATAGAACCATATATTCCTAGTTTTGGAAATGGTCAAGGTTGTCCAGTGTCGGTTTAATAATAAAGTTTGTTTTCTTGATTGTTTTGCATGAAATGGACTTGTGAACTTTCTATGATATCATATGATGTTTTAATAGTTTTATCCATCAAGTTAAAATTATGGATGAGGAATAGGAAATAAGCATGTGTATATATGTAAAATTGGAAAAACAATCCCATGGTGTTTGGTCCCCTATGCCACAGCCTTGATAGGGTTATTAGGGGAGGATGTGTAAAATTTTATTAAATGTATTCGCAAGGTTTAATATGTTTGAATAAGTGGAAAAATTGATGAGTTAATGTGAATGATAAAGTGGAAAAATCCTAGCTCCTATGTCTCTAGGTTTCAGCCTTGATGAGTGAATTTAAGGTTATTGTGTAAATTTAATTGACATTATGGATATGTATAAGTTGCAAAAATTAAGTGAAGAAAATAATTGAAAAAGAGAGGAACCCTTTGAGATTCTCTTATGGATTTCGGTCTTATAGCGTAAATTGAGGATGATTAGATTATGTTTTATTTTGTTAAGGTATTGAGTTTTCAATACATGAAATTAATAAGATTATGAAGTGAAATGGTTTAAAAAGAAATTATGGAAAAATATCTTGATTTCCTAAGTGTAGGTCCACGGCCTTTTAAAGAAAATGGCATGAATTATGTGGAAAATGCTCCAGTGAACATTTGATTAAATTAAAGAACGCTAACGAGTATAAAATGGTCTAGACTTGTGTATTGGCATAGGATTGACAAAAATGTAAAGAAACGAAAATAAGCGATAGAATGTATGCCTTATGTAAAATCTAGGCATGATAGCATTTTATTGATTTGTATTTTGGATTCTTTCTCTAGGTGTGCCTAGGGACTGAAAATGGTCTGAATCCTGTTGAAGCGGTATAAGTAACTTGTGCCACAAGTAAGCGAATTTGAAAAGCTTCAAGAGGTAAGCTCTATGTTTAAGGAGTCTTTTCTTGCTTGAGTGCTCCACCATGGTTATTGAACTATGGTTGGATTGTATGACTGTTGTTATGATGCTTTGTATAGATGCATTCATATAGAGCTATTTGATAATATGATATGACTTGTTCTGATATGATTTCTGTAATGATGTATAGTACACTGATGTCTTCTTGGGGTTTCCCTGAGATTGACGATGTACACCTCTGACATGTTCTGGTTTCGCTTGGGGTCCTCCCTTGGGAACACATGCGTTGATTTCCGCTTGGGGTCCTCCCTTGGGAATGACGGCGCACGCCTCTGATATGATATGATATGAAATATGTTTTGTTCTGTTATGATATCCGTTATAAATGCATTTGTATACTCTGTATCTGATTTTCATGCAGGAGTGAGCCAGGGGTATGGAGAATTCTCTATAAACCTGGAGCTTATTGAGATTGTTATCTCACCCCTTTTTGGGGACATTATTTCAGGTTCCCAGACTCCCAGTGAGCCCTCATTAGGCAAGGACGCGACACGTGGCTGAGGTAGTTGGCGGATCAGATTTTGAGTGGCTGTAGGCTACTACCCTTTTTGGAGTGTATTAGTGTATTCGTATTTTCAGTTATTTTGGGGATCATGATGTGTGATCTCTCACCTTGTATATGGCCTGTATATGTCTTGTACATGTCTTTCAGTTTGATGCATGTACATTTATGTATTCAGACATGTTGATATGACTATGTAGTATTCAGTTATGTTATGTATTGGATTGCATGCTATTAGATTAGTGGCACGGAGCAAAGTTCTGCATGCACCCATAGATGAGTATCTGAGTATATTTGCATGACTGGTACTTCTAGATATATATATTGTTCAAACTGTCTATCAGGAACTCTTGAGAGTGGGATTGGAAAATCCCCAGTTGTCCGATTTACAGAGGTTACTCTGTCCGATTTTTGTTTTCGCCGAATAAGAATTAAACTAGAAAAAAGAAAAAGTTAACCCGTATTTTCGTAAGTTAAGTCTTTCGCTGTTTCTGTTTGTATCATATACATGTTAATTGAACCGACTCGAGACGGGGATGTTACAAGTTAAGTTGAGTATAATATCATGTTAAGGAAAAAGAAAAAGTTCACTTACACTTTTGGATTGTGTACAAGTGGCTAAGTCATAAGTGTAAGTGACGAAGTAAAGAGCTTTCTTAATGTTTTAGATGGGTTAAGTTGAGTATAATATCATTTTGGGGTAGGATATTGTAACAACCAATTAGTGTTACTACCAATGTTACTATCAATCAATTTCACTGTTAGATCGATTATGTTGATTCAATGGTTATATTTATTTCCATCTTTGTATGGTTATGATTTCCCATATTTAATGTGAAAGCATTAAATATGAGAAATCATAACCATACAAAGGTAAAAATAAATACAAAATATTAAATATGGAAAATCATAACCATACAAAGATAGAAATAAATATAACTGTTAGATCAACATGATCGATCTAACGGTGAAATCGATTGGTAGTAACATCACATGAGAGCAGTGTTTTAAAACCCCGCCCCGCCCCCGGGTTGACCCGGGTCAACCCTGACCCCTCCCCTCTGAGGGTTGGGGTCACAAGTTGGACCCTATATGCACATCGACCCCTCCGACCCCCAAAACCCGGCCGAGTTTCAGTGACTCCCACGTGAGAGGGGTCGAAGGGGGTCACTGCATGTTTCTTTTTTTTTTTTTTTTTTAAAATTCCATGAAACAACGTCGTTTTATTAAAAAAAATAAAAATAAAAATGCTTGCAAACTTAAATCTAATCATTCTCTTCTCTCCCAGCGACCTAGATGTCTTCAATCTTCTCCTCGCTGCCGTAAATCTTCTATAAAAGGAAAGAATTTTACCCATTCAAATGAAATCTTTACGGTCGTTGATGGAAAACAAAAACTCATTCTTACTTCCTTTAAATTTTCCTTTGTCAGTGACCTTCTCAAAAGAAGCAAAACCGGGTCAGCATAGTGACCCCATTAGAATACGACTTTTTTACTTTGGTATTTTGATACTTTAATTAGGTTGTATAATATTGACTTGTGGTTGTAATTGGTGAATTATGTTAAATATATTTTGAATCTTTGATAATTGGTGATTTATTTTTTAATATTTTCATATAAGATATATATTTATAATTTTTTAATATATAAAATTGGGTCAGCGTAGTGACCCCCTGACCCCCCGGTTGAACCCGTGATTCCGTGACCCCTGACCTCGATCGATGGTCGAGCCAGGTTTTTAAACACTGCATGAGAGGATCCATTTCCAATATATTATGATATGAAATAATTAAAATTAAAAAAAATAAATTCATATATAATTTTTTGACCCGGATTCCAATTGGAGCCGACTCCAGCACTGCCTAGTTCCTAGTAAAATCATGCATAATGAGCTTCGCTTAAACTTAGCAAGCATTCAAACAATCAACAGTGATTACTTTTGGGGCTCAAAAATGAATTTCAAAAGATGCATGATCAAAAGTAAGTATTCAAAAAATATGTGGAAATCTCTCATATTAAGTGGTTCATCCTTTTTAACAAGTAGGACAAAACATTTAGAGTCCATGCCTCAAATTGATAACAATTGACATAAATACGTTTGAATTTAAGGTCGCCGATGAAACTTGGAAAAATCCGGACGTCTACGTTGCATATATGCAGTCTTTCCCTCGTTAGCTTCCTCAGTGCCATAAAATATCAGTGTTGCATTTCCACCAATTTCCTATATATGAGATAAAAACATATTAAAGTATGTGAACATATGCACAATGGGAAGGGTGAAAATAATTACTAAGTAGGAACAGCATCCCATTAGGCTGGAGGAAGTATAGATTATTGCAAGGCATTGTTGGTACATTCAGAATATTAATCTTTCTTGTTTAGAATTTATATATTATGTAGCATATAATATTGATAGATGGAATCATGAATTGTGATATACCTGAAGTCCAGAATGCCCATCATCCACTGCATTAAGAGCTGACTTGAGAACCCGAATTGCAGTTGGGCTGTTCCTTAGTATCTCCCGACACCATTTTATTGTTTCTTTCTCTAAATTCTCTAGCTAGACCAAACCAAAACATTACATTAGCTGTAAGTAAGAGGTTGATGTTAGAGCATGTGCTCTGTGCTAGTAGCTAACTATTTTAGTAGCTTCCTATTTCTTAAGTGGACAAAGGATAAACCCCAATGCACAAGCCTCCCTAACTTGCGAGGATAAGGATAAGGGTTGATTGTATGCACAACTACCCTTGTCTTTTTGCAAAGAAGTTGTTTTCCATATTCACGTGACCTTCTGATCAAAAGGAACAACTTTACCGTTGCTCCAAAGCTTGCCCTCTTCCTATTTCTTAAGTGATTTGTCAAAAATCCATGACAATTTAATTATGTTTCAAATTCGTATGCAACATATAATTAGTGAAGAATGATATCAGATTATTTTCGACAAAAGGAGAAATTGTAATTACAGTGTAAAGAATTCCTCATATGGAAAAGAACTTACTGGTACAACAGTATTGACAAGGCCCATTTTCTCTGCTTCAATAGCAGTATAGAACCTTGTGAGAAACCACATTTCACGTGCTTTTTTGGGACCTACCTGTTTAAAGAAGTTAAAATTTGTATCTTTTGGATTGAAAATATCAAAATGATAAAGCTAAAACAAATACACCACCTAGAATAGCATAGTGGTGGGGTGAGTTATCAGCAAGATATATAGTATTTAATCCTTACCAAACGGGACATGATAGAACTTCCATAACCAGCATCAAAGCTTCCTACCTTCCATATAGGTACAAGGAAATAAGACATTACAAATTCATGATGATGTATTATTACAAGAGGTTATAGTGAGAAAATCTTCTGATCTATATGTTTGATTAATATGTGTCTTAAATGAAAAAGAAAAGGATTCAAACACCTTAGGACCAGTTTGGCCAAAGATGGCATTATCTGCTGCAATGGTTAGATCACAGACCATATGTAAAATATGCCCTCCTCCAATTGCATAACCTGCTACCTGTTTTAACGTTAGGAAAATAGTCTGCACATAACAAGAATAACAAAGAACCCACAAAAAAAAAATAAAGACATGATATCATTATTCATTAACTGGAATTTTGAGGCCTAGAATTGCAGACATTGACATAAGCCCACCAGTTATATTCAAGAATAAAGGTGCAAAGAGGTACGGAGAGTACCATTGCAATTACTGGTTTAGGAAGGCGGCGGATCTGCACCTGCAATAGGAGAAAATAAATGAAGAAAAAGTAGAGTAAGAAAGGTACAAATGATTTTTCCCATAACACACTAAATAAAGCATTGACAATTGTCTCATTACTATTCATGGGAACAACACAATCACTGGAAAACTTGAAGATTCACGCTCCATTGAGATTGTTAATTACCAAGAGACAAGAGGTATTCATTGTAATCCTTGTGTCAATTACACGAAGGAGACTTCTTTTATATATTAAACTAAATAACAAATACACACACATATACACAATGTGGGACTTCTATACTATGTACAGCAACACTCCCCCTCAAGCTGGAGCATATAGATCGTATGCACCAAGCTTGTTATATATCTGGTCTATCCTAGGTCCTTTCAAAGACTTAGTAAATACATCAGCTAATTGATCATTTGAGTTGACAAAACGAGTGACTATATCTCCTGAGAGAACTTTTTCCCTAAGGAAATGACAATCTATCTCAATGTGCTTAGTCCTTTCATGAAACACTAGATTTGAAGCAATATGCAAAGCAGCTTAATTATTACAAATGAGAGATATTGGGCCAGTGTCTCCAAACTTGAGTTCCTTCAGTAGCTGTTTTAACCAAATGAGTTCACAGGTAGCTGTGGCCGTGGAGCGATATTCTGCTTCAGCACTTGATCTAGCAACTACACTTTGCTTCTTACTTCTCCAGGAAATCAAGTTATCTCCAACGAATACACAATACCCAGAAGTGGATCTTCTATCAATAGGAGAACCTGCCCAATCAGCATCTGAGTATCCTACAACTCTGGTATGACCTTTGTTTTCATAGAGAAGACCTTTGCCAGGAGCAGTCTTGATGTACTTGAGGATATGGATTACTGCATTCCAGTGATCTTCACAGGGAGAATTCAAGAACTGACTTACTAAACTGACTGCAAAGGAAATGTTTGGTCGAGTAACTGTGAGATAGTTTAGTTTCCCAACCAATCTTCTATACCTTTCTGGATCAGAAAATAGCTCCCCCTGATTTGGTAAAAGCTTGACATTTGGATCCATAGGAGTATCGACGGGCTTAGCATTCAACAATGCTGTTTCCTCAAGAATATCCATAGCATATTTTCTCTGTGATAGTACAATGCCATCTTTGGATTGGACCACTTCTATCCCTAAGAAATATCGGAGTCTTCCAAGGTCCTTTGTTTGAAAATGATGGCACAAATGTTGTTTTATCTGAGTTATGCCATGAGTATCATTACCTGTAATGACGATATCATCAACATATACTACCAAATAAATAGAACCTGAATCAGAGTGTCTGTAAAAGACTGAGTGATCAGCCTCACTTCGAGTCATGCCAAACTGCTGTACAACAGTGCTAAACCTTTCAAACCAAGCCCGGGGAGACTGTTTGAGACCATACAAGGATTTTCGGAGACGACAAACTAGGTTAGACTCCCCCTGAGCAACAAACCCAGGAGGTTGCTCCATATAAACCTCTTCCCGCAGATCACCATGGAGGAAAGCATTCTTTATGTCCAGCTGATACATAGGCCAGTGATGAATGACTGCCATAGTAATAAAGAGGCGAACATAAGTCATTTTCGCCACGGGAGAAAATATGTCACCATAGTCAAGACCAAATATCTGAGTATAACCTTTAGCCACCAAGCGGGCTTTAAGACGGTCCACCTGACCATCCGGACCAACTTTAACCGTGTATATCCATCGACAACCAACAACAGACTTCCCAGAGGGAAGGGGAACCAGATCCCAGGTACCACTGCTCTGAAGTGCACTCATCTCATCAATCATGGCCTGTCGCCAACCAGAATGTGATAACGCCTCACCTGTAGTCTTAGGAACAGATACAGAAGAAAGAGAAGAGAGGCAAGCAAAATGGGATGGTGAAAGACGATGATAACTCAAATTTATTAAATACCTGGGAGGGGGACGAGAATCACGAGTACCTTTCCGGAGTGCAATGGGCACATCAATGTCAGACGGAAGGATCAGAGTTGCCGAAGGAGATGATGACGGAAGTGAGTCTACAGGAGCCTCAGGAACAATAGGGGCAGACTCGGGGGGGGGGGGGGGCAGGATCCTGGGGAACAGGGGGACGTTGCCGACGATGATAGACCTGGAGGGGGGGAACAGGGACGGGGACATCTAAAGAAGGAGATGGTGAAGGTATATAGTGAACTGAAACAGGTGGTAAAGGTAGCTGAGTAGCAACAGAATCACTGGGATGGGAGGAGGAGTCAAAGAATGGAATAGACTCAAAGAATGTAACATCTGCCGAGACAAAGTAACGACGAAGACTGGGAGAGTAACAACGATAACCCTTTTGTGAGCGAGGGTAACCCAGGAAAATACATTTATGTGACTTAGCAGATAACTTGTCAAGACCAGGACTGAGATTGTGGACAAAACAAGTAGAACCAAAGATGTGAGGAGTGAGTGGGTACAAAGGTTGATGGGGAAACAACACAGAATATGGTACCTGGTTATTAAGTACGGAGGAAGGCATGCGATTAATGAGATAACAAGCTGTGAGGACAGCATCGCCCCAATACTGGAAGGGGATATGACCATGTAACAAAAGTGTCCGAGTGGTCTCAATTAGGTGACGGTTCTTGCGTTCAGCAATCCCATTTTGTTGAGGGGTGTGTGAACAAGATGTCTGGTGAAGGATGCCGTGAGATGCAAAGAAGGTTTGAAACTGATGAGACAAATATTCACGAGCATTATCACTATGAAAAATGCGAATCGAAACACCAAATTGAGTAAGGATTTCATTAAAGAACTTGTTGAAAATAGAAAACAATTCAGACCGATTTTTCATTAAAAATAACCAAGTACATCGAGAATAATCATCAATGAAAGTTACAAAATATCTGTACCCCATAGTGGAAAGGGTACGACTAGGACCCCAAATATCTGAGTGAACTAAAGCAAAAGGAGACGAAGACCGACGACTGACACAATCGGGAAACGAACTACGGGTGTGTTTCCCTAACTGACACGACTCACAAGACAAACTAGATAAATTTGAGAAACGTGGGACCATCTTCTGGAGCTTAGCAAGACTTGGATGGCCCAACTGAGCGTGGATAGTAAGCGGAGAATCCACAACAGAGCACACTGGAACAGAAGTTGAAAGCTGATAAAGGCCATTGGACTCAGATCCGACGCCAAGTGTCCTCCTCGAGCTCCGATCCTGCAAAATGACAGACTCTTTAGTGAAAGAAATAATACAGTCAAGGGATTGAGTCAAGCGGCTAATGGAAATAAGATTGAAAGGAGAATGAGGAACATAAAGCACATTCTCAATAGAAATAGAAGGAAAAAGAAGAACAGTGCCAATCCCTTGGGACTGAACCAGTGACCCATTAGTCATAGTGATATTGGGCAGGGGACCAGACGTACAGAGAGAGGTAAATAAAGACTTATTACCAGAAATATGGTCAGATGCACCAGAATCGAGAATCCATGGACCAAGAGAGGGCGAGTGAGAAACATCAGCAAAGGAATTACCCGTGTGTGCACCAGAGGCAGTGGTACCAGGTGGCTATGATCCAGCAATCAAAGCAGAGTCCGAGGCAGGAACAATAGTCTGAGCAAAATGAGCGGAGCGAGGAGGGCGACCGCGAAGATCCCAGCAACGATCAATAGTATGGCCCGGCTTGTTGCAATGAGTGCAGAGAAAGCGTCTCGTAGAGGGTTTGCGTCCACGTGCAAAACCCTTGGAGACAAGGGCAGATGGGTCAATTGAAGAGGGAGCAGATACTGCAGGCTCCATAACAGTCTTAGGTGGAATGCAAAGCAACGTAGACCAAACAGAGTCCAGCGATGGAACAGTAGTAGAACCCAAGATCTGATCCCGGTTGACAAAGTATTCCGAGGGCAAATCATAAAGAGCCATGAGCATGAAGAACATGTTGCGTTGCTCAAGTTCTTTAGCAGGATCTGCAGCAGGCGGCAACAGTTCATTGAAATCATGAAGAAGGCCCTGAACTTTTCCCAAGTAAGCAGACATAGAGACATCAAGTTAGTGAGCAGCAATAGTAGTGATCAAATTTTGACAAACGCCATAGAGTCGCTGAGTGTCATTAGTATAAAGTAACTTGGCCTGACGCCAAACAGACTCACAAGTGATGTGAGCACGAAAAATCTACTTCAAGGACGAGTGGCTGGTAGACTTGATGGTGCTACATAACTGAGCATCAACCTTTTTCCAATGAGGGCGTACATCTACCGAGATGGACTCAGCCTTAGTAATGAGATGGTCAGTGTAGTCCTGTCCATCAAGCCAAAGTTGGAGATCAGAAGCCCAAGAATCATAATTGGAGCCATCCAACTTGTCGACATGTAGCGGAACATTAACATAATTAGAAAAAACAGGCGGGTCAGCCTTTTGAGAACCCTTGGATGCATCGTGGGGTGACAAATCAGCCATTGGTCACCTGAAACCAAAAAGAACAGCAACAAAAAAGCAAAGAGACACCTGTGAACAGTAACCAACAAGGGAAAGGACACTGTAGGAAACCGGAACGATGTCAAAACCACAAATCGAGGACAGATCCAGGGACGCAAGGTCACGGCGAGATGGACGGTGGTGGTAGGACCGGAAGAAACAACCTCACGCGCCTCCACGCGCGGCTGCAAAATAACTGGACGCAGCCCCTTTGTGACGCGCGTGAGAGCGCGTGGAGAAGAAGCTTCAAACGGATCCAAGACAGACAAGACCGCCGTGCCTGGACGATCAGAACCGTGTATGGTTCGCCGGAAAAATTGCCGGAAATTTCGTCTGAGACGGCGGTCAACGGAGGCAGTGATCAGAGAGGTTCTTTGACGATGTAAGGACGCCGGAAACTGACAGATATGATTGTTTTCGGAAAAAAAAAATTTTACTTAGCGGACAGTGGTCCACCGGAAAAAAATAAAAAAACGCGGATTAGGATTCCTCTTGTTAGGCTCTAGATACCATGTTAATTACCAAGAGACAAGAGGTATTCATTGTAATCCTTGTGTCAATTACACGAAGGAGACTTCTTTTATATATTAAATTAAATAACAAATACACACACATATACACAATGTGGGACTTCTATACTATGTACAGCAACAGAGATCAATGCCTCATAAACCACAAGGGCTTAATTCAAGCAATGGGGATCACTTCCATTCACCCATTTAGAACAATCTGGAATCAAATTAATATACCTGCAAGTCTAACACATTAAGGCGACCAATATTTTCATAATCAGAATAACCATCTTCGGTCCTCAAAGCCTGATCACCACCACTACAAAATGCCTCGGTTCCCTACAACATCAATATGTCATCAAACATCAATTCCACATTGGTTTGCACAAAAAATGTGAACATTACATTCATGTCCTCACGGGGTTCAGTTGTGTCAAAAGTGACAAGAACACGGTCAAATGTATGTTTATAGCTGTACAGGAAGCTTCATGATTAAGAAACAAACAATAGTTTCCATTAATTTGGTGACAATATGCTAAGCCTATAAGGGGTTCAGTTGCAGCCAAGAACCAATGAACAAAGTATAAATACTGTAGACACGCTCCAAAATCACTTGAAACAAGCAATGCAGTAATCAGCAAAAGGGAGAGATGGGAGAATTCCCGAAAATCTAAGCTAAAATCAAGATATTGTATTACAATAGGTGAATTAAGTCATGTGAAACTTTTGCGGCTATATCTCAATTCATATATATTCACAAATCCCCAACTATTTAATAGCTATAAAGAGAGATAGACACCAAAACTTAGTAGTGAATGGTAAGTAGGTTGTATGATAGTAATTTGATTAATCACTTGTCATCAATCCATTTCTTCTAAGGCCTCAACATGTCCTTTTAAAGATTTTTAAAAAACAATAATAATAAGGGTGTAAAGAACCAATTGAACCCAAAATATTAAACTATTAAGTGAAGGTCTCTTTAATAGTTTTATATATATTTCTAACACGCTAGATAAAATTATGTTTATATGCTAAAAAATTCCATAAGAGAAAGTGAGGGCAGTGAGGATCGAACTTGTGACACCGAGACTCTGATACCATACAATGATTCAATTAAATTAAGCTTAAGTTTTTGGGTTAAATTGATTCTTTACAAAGGGTTTGGTATTTCTCTTATCACACGTGGCATAAGATAAAATTATCCCTTGTAAGTTGTAACACAAAATAACATCCCTTTGGAATTTCTCGAGATAACTTTATCTGGTGTGATACAATTTTTCCTAATAATAATAACAATAATAATAAAAAAAAAAGGGGCACTAGTAGGTACCTTCCCAGTGAGAATGATGACCCCAACAGAGCTATCATCCCTAGCATCATTGAAAGCACGAATAAGCTCCTTAACAGTATGGGGACGGAAGGCATTCCTTCTCTCTGGTCTATTAATAGTAATCTGCAGCACTTGCCACCACAACCAACAATAAAATTGTCTTCAAAAAACATGAAAAGCAAAACAAACTTGAAGAAGCAAAAGAGAATCAGAAACTGAACCAACCTTGGCTATTCCTTCTCCAACAGCCTTTTCATAAACAATATCAGTGAAGTCCTTGCCAGACTCATCAGAAGCTGTCCTCCAAACGACGTCGTGAGAGAGAACATCACCATGAACCCGTTGGTAGCTATCATTCCTGGAACCAGAACCAGAACCAGAACTACAAGTGTTGAACAACACAAGTTCACCTGCTACACTGCAAGTATGAGGAGAAGGTACGAGGTGGTTGGTTAGAGAAGCAACCCTTCTGATCACAGTGTTAAGGTCCTTGTTCTCTGCCATTACAGCTCCGAGCTCTAACGCTTCTTCACCAATGGCATGACGCTTTTAGTTTTATTCATTGACATCGAAGAGAGGTTGCACTTGTTGACGTGGCGACTTTGGATAAGATAAGGTTGTAACACACAACAGTTATAATTGAGTTTTAAAATAAATAAATAAAAATAACAACAGTGTGTCTTAGTTAAAATCAAGAGAAACGGTGCGTTTGATGTCTTTTCATTGTTCTTTTTACTATTTTTTATTGTCAAGCCATGCCTTGCATTCTGTAACACGAGAAAGGAAAATTTTCTACATGTTATTCGATTCGATTTTTGTGTTGATATAAATCTCACACAAGATGACACTTTGTCTATTTATGACATGAAAATTCTTATGAGAATTATAAAACTCTTTTTTTATATTCGGTCTATGCTTCAGTGTTGTTAGATGTTTATATTTGGTTTAATCTTTCCAATATATTTTCAAATGGTTTTATAAAAGTTATGTTATAGAAAAAGTGATTGTATAATGTTATAGAGATTCGTTTTACGTGCCGTAATTTTCTTTTTTTTTTCTTTTTTTATCAAAAAGTGTGGGCCCACAAAATGTTGTGCGTGTGTAACACACCGTTCTAGAACTGGATTGTTATCATTACATACGGCATTATGCACAGTTACAATCACAAGATTGAATTAAAACACGGATAACCTTTTTTTCTTTTTATTTATAAAAACTTTTGTTCAAAATCCATTTTCGTAATTAAATCAATCCCTATATTGTGATTATAACTCAACTATATGTGGAATTATCATTGTAGGTCCCACTTTAATTGCTTTTAGAAACTAAATGCATCCATTCTTTATTTATTTAAGAAATTCCTATTCTAATTTTATGGCCTCCAATTTCTAATATGTTATAGGATTTTTCATTAGCTACACGAGGTTTCAAATCGCGTTCAAATCGGAGCACCGTAGCTCAAGTTACGCATTTTCTAAGAAAAATGTGCAAAATTATTAGGACCCCCACGCCCATAGCATGGGCAAACAGAAAGGTTGATGCTTAGAGCGTGAATCTCATGCTCAGAGCGTGGATGTTCTGCAGCAAACACCCAAAACAAGACAATTTGACCTCTTATGGTATTCTACTCATAACTTGAGTTTTACTCATCCAATTTACACAATCTTGGTCTCTATGGAAAGCTAAGAAAAAGATCTACAACTTCCATGCGGACACAATGATCCAAATCTATCATATTGGATACGAAAATTGGACAACAAGATGATATATCTCTACTTTTACTTGAATTTTCAACCTAGAGGTCTTCTTTCACCTAATTGACAATCATATCATTCTTTCAATGCATGAATTCTAGTCTTTCAAAGTACTCATATACTAGGAGAAGCATGCATACCATTTCATCATACATACATCTTCATTAATTACAACAAGTCTTAATTATAATTCATGGGACTTAGCTACAAAATAACTATGCTCAATCCCTTGGCTCTCAACAACAAAAGAGGTACCAAAAGAGATGAGCATAGGCTAAGTCCATCCAATAAAGCATAATATACATATGACAATTGACTTTCAAATAGAAGTCCTATACATGGTATCTCTACATGTAAGGAATCTCAAAATATCATATGCTAGGTACCATCTACTCACGCTTCTTGCCTCTGTCAACCTCACCTCTAACCGTACCTGAAATGATGCCCCACAACACGGGGTGAGATAAAACTCAATAAACCCAGGGTTCTTAGAGAGCTCCTCCAACCCCAGAGTTCACTTCCTGCATGAAGGGTTAGTATCCACATGGCATGTAATGCATCATATATCCAGAGGCAATAACAGTAATAATTTAATTACAGCATACTCATGCATTCAAATGGCCACAGAATTAAACAATCAAATCATCACACACGCTTCAGTTGCATCTTAGTCCTTTCCACTAAGCATACAACCTAGCCCCTAGTTCTTGTCCATTGACCTTTCTCCAATGACACAACAATACTATATGAGTGCAAACATACCATAATACTAACATTACCACTCAATCATCCATTCATAAACCATCACTTCCACGAAAGCAATGGTGGAACAACAAGAGGGATTAACCTCTAAGATCCAAAGGTTTACCTCTTCATGCTTTCCCTCCTTTTGCAAGCTTTCTTGTAGCTCACCTATCCAACAATCCTTCTTGGGATCTCAACTTGGTAATTCCTTCCAATCACCAACACACCCAATCCAAATGAGCTACTCAAGCTCTATGGCTTCCACTAATGGTTGGTCACTCAATGTGGTTCCTCTTGCTTCAATCCTATAAACACAAAGGACACCATCAACACAACCAATCCAAGCCATAGCTCAACCATGCAAGAAACTCGATATTTCAAGCATGAATTTTCCAAGATTTTGAACATAGCTTAAATAACAATCTAAACTTATTTCTACCGTTTATTTAACTTTCCTAGCATTTTTCACAACATACACTAAGTCTCAATCTTCCTAGAACATAGCCAATCTACTCACATTATCATAAAACCCTAAAACACTATTCATCAAAACCTAAATCATGCAAAACTCAAGGAATTTGTGTGAAAGAGAGTGGAAAACTCACCACCATGGATCACACAGCAAGGCAAGGTTGCTCCTCAAGCTTCCATGGAGGTAGAAGCCAACAAATCTCTCCACTTTCCAAATGGGTCGAAACTTTGGAGAGAGAAATCCCACAACACACCACTCCCCACTAAGAACCAAGCTAGGATTAAGGATGAGGGGAAGAATCTAAGTGGTTTAGGCTTTTGAATCAAGATAAAAGGTTAAGAATGAAGAGAGCTAGGGTTTCCCTCTCCTTTCTTTCTTCTCCCTCTCCTCCTCTCCTCCTCTCCTTCTTTCTTTCTTTCTTCTCTTTTCTTTTCTTGTTGTCGACGGGAATTGGAGAGATTTGGGGTTCTTTTATGGCATAGTCACTTAACTTTGGTTAAGTGGAATAAAGTGGGTATTGGTTCATCTATCTATTCAACTCCATTAATCACCAAACTTTACCCAAGTGTCTGGAATATTTTTCTAGGAATATTTCCACTTCCATTTTTATATTTTGGCTACTTTTGCCCACACTCATTTATACCCCTTAATTTTCACTGAGTACACTTTTTACCTCAAAAGTGACCCTAATTAATTTAATTAGGCCTTTTACTTATTTTTAACTCACTAATACATGCCAATTTACTTAATAACATGTAATTTACTGTTTAATTAGGTTAGGAATATTATATTCACCCCACCTTTTAGCGATTTTGCCCGCAAAATCAGGAACTTACCTATCCCCGTTACCAACTGGACAGGTCAGGCCTTTTGCCTTCCCACTGCATCTCGACCATCAAAATGGTTTTTACCACTATACTTATACACACCTTGCCACTAGGTGCAAACCTTTGAGCTTATAAGTAATACTTGATTCCCTCAAGCCTATTTATTTTAACCCTATCAAGGTCTCTATCCTCCTGTCTGGTACGAAACCATAAACTACCATGGTCTTACCTCATCAACCTTTTACCTCTTATCTTGCTTGTCTATCAACTCCAAGTTCTTTTCCTTTCAATTTTCTCATGTTTTATCATTACAAGGGTGTTAAAAGTAAACCTCACAAAATTTTCCATTTCGTGAACTAGTCCTTTCACTACGACTGTGAACCCTTTCTAAGTTCTCAATCTAATATTAGTCATTTTTCTAATATTACCATCTACTTGTACTTTAGTAGCTCAGTCTTCTTACTGATAGTAAACTTTCCTATTTATTTGTACATCAGTTTTCTCACTGATAATACCATGCCACTGAAACATCAGTGCTTCAGTCCTTCCACTGATAATACTAACTACACTCATAATGGACCATCAGCCCTTTCACCGATGACCCTATCAGTCTTTTCACTGATAGTACAATCCTTACATAAACTTTTACTTAGATATTAGTCCTTCCACTAATATCACGCACCAATCCTTTCACTGGCACGCACATCAGTCATTCCACTGATGATTTTATCAGTCCTTTCACTGATGATTTTATCGTTCAATTGTACATTAGTCCTTTCACTAACCATACCATCTTTCCTCTCACTTCATGAGTTACTCTTAGGGAAACATTTCTTTTAAAACAAATTTTTATCTGGGTGCTTCCAAGAGTCACTACTCTTAGGAATTATTCCATTAAGAAAGCCCCGTATCCACTTATTCTCCTATTTAGAGAATTTCTTCGCTAATAATTCACATCAGACTACTTTTCTTTGTTATACCTTCACCTCCATCTTAAATGCAATTTCATATAACATAAACTCACAAGAACAATCATTTTCACACCCTGATGCAATAGTCTTTTATTCTTTGTCTCAATACATTAACATACAATCAGGCATAACTATGCATGTTATCAGACTACTTTTCTTTGTTATACCTTCACCTCCTAATGGTTTTTAGCCGTAAGCTAAACCTAGAGGTTTACAGTTTGGTCTATAATTCTAGCTTTTCATTTCATTAATTCTTTTGTTAACTTTAACTTTTGTGGTTATAGAGCCTACGCTCCACTTGATCAGACTAATGTCAAATCTGTCAATTCAACACAATGTTCACTCTCACAGACATTGCATGCATCATCAAGAATACATCACTCACATGCATGCATTACACTTTATGCAACAACATGTCTATCATCATTACACTGGGTGGACAATTTACAAGAAAGAAATTTTCAAATCATACCTTCAATTTGCCTGAGAGTTTCCTCCCTATCATGTGGCTCTAAGGTATAATCTTGACCTCAAACTCGAGATCCAACAATTGCGTGTACATTTGAAATCCGATCAGTCCTAGTAGGACATACATTAGCAAAGTGACCCAGTTGGCCACATTTGAAGCACGACTTTGTTTCGTACCAACATGTGCCTCTATGTGTCTTCCCGCATGTGTCACATTTAGACAGGGGGAATTCACTCACAACTGTCTCTCCTTGGTTGCCTTTTCTCTTAAATTTATCATCAGATTGCTTCGCTTGCAATTTCTTCTTTCCATTCTTGTCATCTATTTTCTTATTCTTTTCT